CCAGATCTCCGGGATCAGGCCCTGGGCTGAAGGCAGGTGCTAAACCGCTGAGCCACCCGGGCTGCCCCTCAAGTTCTGTTTTATATGGCTGGATATATCCAACAGATTTTCCAAGATCAAAAAAGCTGCAAAATTAGGGAAGTCAGTATTTGGCTTGTATTTGGCTTCTAGTGCTTTGGAATGTCTACTCTCCTGAAGAGTTCTAAAGACTCATGGCAACACAGAGACCCTCTTTCCTGGTAATTTATTATATGCTGTTCCCACTGGCCTGTCGAGCTCGAGCTCTGGAGGTGAGGAGAAAATGTCAGGAGATTAGAGCAGAATCATCTACTGGCTACACGACTGACGGCCTGGAACAGTAACTGATATTGTTTGAAAACTGCTTCTAGAGATTGTCCAAGATTAGCATATTTTCACCATTAAAGAAGCCTCAACTGCAAACCCAGACCTTGTTTCCAACATAGCAAAATTCTGCAGGAAAGACATAAAACATCACTGAAGTCTTGGTCAAAAGTGTGCTGTTTGGTTTTAAAACTTCAACTTGCTCCCTAAATATGGTTTTCTTCTAAGAAGACTAACATGACTCAGAAAATGTTTGAGCAAGTGTGTGTGCTCACGAGCGTGTGGGAGGTGAAGATCTTTAACAGGATGAGGTTTTTTTGTTGTTGTTTTTTTTTTTTTTACTTTTTTACAATAAAATAACCCACATTCTACCATTTGTATATCCTTCCACCAAAGCTCAAGAACTTTGGCACTGAGGCACTTAAAGGGCATTTTCATGTGAGGAAGAAAAAAAAAAAAAGAGGCTGTTTTCATACTAACGGTGGGGAATCTGAAATTTTCCTGTAGTTGTTAGAAAAAGTTGTATTTGATTACAAAAAAACATGTACCTTATCTGAAATCATAGGTCCAATATCTGCACAGAATGTGAATGAATTATCAACTTTCTATATGTAAAAACATCTCATTAAAAGTTTGGCTAAGATGCTAATTATTGCAGTTCTAGTTTTTCAAACAGCTTTGAGTTTTTGCCAAGTTTAAGATCAGGGAATTAAGTGACTTGTTCAAGGTCATTTGGTCAAATCAGGTAGGATTAGAATTACTAGTTCCTGCCTCCCAAAAGCCAGTTGTAAATCAAACTAAGCAGGCCAAAAGAGAAAAATCACTCCCCATTTCCTTTCCTCAATAATCAAAGAGCAAAAGAAAAGTCAATTTAAACGATAGAACTTCAATTAATAAATTTTCATCAATCCACAGACTAGTACCTCTAACCAGGCATAGGCACCTACCTCTCTCAAAATCAGTAACTTCTCTATAACCTGCCCATCTGATGGCACCATAAATTTATTAAGATGCTTTTCAATCAGAACTTCATATGTATATCTATAATATCACTTCTCTATCTTCTAAAAGACCTGGTCAGACTGGAATACGGATATACTCTGAGCAGTTAGGTTTCTTTCTTTCTTTCTTTCTTCTCTTTTTTTTTTTTTTAAGATAAAGGATCATAAATAAGTTCAAAGTTTTCTTCAGAACTCTAAAAGGAATAGGGAGAGTTCACCAGGACAAGTGAAACAGTGATTAAGTGAGAATCGGTCAGGCTGTGGCTGGGAGAGAACTAGAGAGAACTAGAGAGAAGAGGCACAGATGCATCTTCATCACCATATCAGCTTCCTCCTCCATTTCAAATCTACCATCTCCATTGCTCTTTCTTTTTCTTTTTTTTAAGTGAGTGGGGAGTTCAAGGCACTCCCCACCCTGAGATCAAGCCCTGAACTGAGATCAGGAGTCAGAGGTTTAACTGAATGAGCCACCCAGACACCCATCCACATCACACTTCTGACCCATCCTTTTCATTTCCACTTTCAAATTGCTGATGTAAAACACTACTTTTTAATTAGTAACAAAAATGTAATCTTCAGTGAAGCCATATTTTGAAATCACTAACTGGTTTGGGACCAGGATACTGAGAGCACTCTGTATTTGTTACAAACACACCATAGTTGTATTTAGTAACACTCCTCACATCCAATTTTCTAAGTCAAATGGCACCATCACCCCCATTTCAGATGACCCTCAAGTCCAGGAAAATTTCCCTTTGCTCTCAGACTATAGATCACCAATATTAAGAGCTGGCATTAGATCTGAAAAATACTAAGTGAATGGGTAGGCTGGCATTGTGGCTGAATTATATCATATATGAACAACTTTATAACATTTATAACTAACATGATTTTTCTCTTATCTCAAATTCAATTCAAGTCTACCTATTTCTGAATACAGCTGTAACATACTCTTTGGACTGATTTCTCTTTAGGCCCTTGAGCAAAACAGGGTCACAGGGTATACAGAGCAAATCAAAAGCAGGACTGGAAAAAATTAAACCCGGAAGGAAATGTAAGTCTAACACTTTCCAATATGCCAGAAGTCAGAGTTGTCATTATTTGAAATGAATTAGGTTGAGCTATTATCACGCTGCCTCTATACAACTGTTTTCGACCTGCAAAAAAACAGAAATTTCCTATGGCTCAACCTAGTATTATTTTCTAAGCTCATTTTAATAATTGTCTCAAATTAAGGTCTTCGCAACCCAAAGCACATAAACCCTTATTATTTCTCTAGATTACCTTAACCTTCGGAAAGATTTGCCACCCCACTGCCCAAGGCTGGTCGTTTGAAAATTTTATGTCTATTAGCAGGAAAGCTAAGAGAAAAAAAACAACAGCAACAACAAAAAGACCCACCAAACTGCTGAACGCAGGAACCCTAAAGCCATTCCACATCTTTTTTTATGGCTTGCCTTTCCCACTAACAGAATCTGAATCCTAAGCAGATCTGCCCTTTAGGGGACTTCTGTTTGTGAAAACTTGAGAGCTTTGCATCTTTTTCACTCATCAGTGATACAAGAATCTGTAGATGCCCATCACTTTACACTGGGGTTCCACTGACCTAAAAAAAAAAAAAAAAAAAAAAAAAAACCTATCCTTCAGGAATTTTAACGAAGTTACTAAATTCCATTTCTGCTGGGGAATCTGGCTTGAAACCTTTCTAATCTAAAGGGTGATCACCATCCCAGTGGGATCATTCTGCCATTTGGATATGGCTGATTTATGTACAAACAACTGAACTAACCAGTCACTTGGAAGTGGTTATGGCTTCAAGACAGCATCTAGGTCCAAATCTATCTTTTCACACCCATTTGTTATTGCGTCTAATATCCAATATACTAATGACCTCTTTTTTCAATTAGTTTCACTAATTACACACCTGTTCTTGTTCTGCCAAAATTCCTATCTCCTCATCTGATCCATCAGGCCACATGCTATATACTCCACCAGAGGGATCCTTTTTCCTCAGATACTTCATAAACTGTTAGGGCAATCTGATGTTGCCTATTCTATCTTCCCAGATCTAGTTTATAGTACAAATCATCAATATTATAAGTGAAATGTGCTCCAAAAAAAAGTGAAATATGTGAAATATGCTCCAAAAAAAAAAAAAATCAGGAGAGAATCTCCTGCTCTATCTGGAAATTTCTCTATTCAGCTAGTTCAGTGTTGACAGGTCAACAGAGAATGGCACTAGTCATTACTACAATCCTAAAGGGCATTCCCCTATAGTTAAACCATCAACCCTTTCCTAACATCCAAATGACCCAGACTTTTTACAGCAGAATTTACTCTCCTTGTCCCAGCCCCAACGGCAGCTTCGGGTCTTTTTTTCACCCTGAACCAAGGTTTTCTCTAGAGCCCGTGGTGATGCTATGCCAGGCAAATACATTCATTAAACCTTTATTTCTCAAAAGTTACATATAATAACTGCTTAAAAAAAAAAAACCACTCTCTATGCATCATAGGTGCTTTAAAAGGGAATTTACCTACTTCCTTAAAACCCTATGAGGTGTGGACTTATACTCCCATTTTACAGAGGAGAAAGGCTGAGGCTTAGTAACTTGCCCAAGGTCATAAAGGGCAGGGATTTGAATCCAAGTCTGACCTCAGTGTCCTCTGACCTTAACTCTCACGCTGTCTTCCCTCTTCTCATGTCCTAAATGTCTGCTCTGTGGCCTTAACAAAGTCTGTGCTTGGGCAGTGCTCAGTTTTCCCCAGACGGTCTTGCCTTTAAAGGACATGCCTTTGAGAAGAATGAGTACCCATTCCAATTTTTCTCCATGCTCCTCCTTCCCACCTGGCACCATCTCCCCGAGGCTCTTATCACAAATCCTCCTCTAGGGCCAATCTGCATGTCCTCTCAGTCCCGAGCAGAGCACAGGATACTGAAGGGCCATCTTCCACCTCAAGACTAGGACAGGGCAGCAGTGACAGCGTGGAAAGGTCCAGACAGCACCCTTCCCCAAGTCTCCATTCAGAAGGAAACTGTGGTCGAGGGCCGGAGGGGGGTGGGGGAAAGAATTTGGGGAAGGAAAAGAGGTACAGGGGCGGAGATAACAACAGGGTGTGCCCTTGGGGGAGGTGGGGAGACGGAGATGATGGGGGGGTCACTCGGTGAGGAAGGGGCCACTGGGGGGGGGTGAAGGTGTACGCTGGGGAGGAGGGCCTGGAGGTGGATGGAACGGGAAAGTGGAGGGAAGAAAGGGCAGGGAGGGGGAGCAGGAAACGGCGGCCTCAGCCGGGAGGGGAGAAGGAAGGATGGATGGGAACCGGGGAGGTGGGGCGCCGCGAGCGCCGGGGCTCCGCGAGGGGGAGCGGGCGGGCCGGGGGCGCGGGGTCCGCGGAATGCCGGGAGCCGGGGCCTCGGGAGACCCGGGCCGGGGGAGCGGGCGGCCGCGAGCCGAGACGCCAGGGCGGGAAAGGGGGCGTCCCGGCGCTGGCGGGGGGGGGGGGCACCGGCGGGCTCCGAGGGGATGGAGTCCGGAGGGCCGGGGTGCGTGGGCGGCCGGCGGGGTGCAGAGGGCGGGAAGGTGCCGGCGTCCCCCGAGGCCGGGCGTGCGGGCTCCCCGAGGCCCGGAGCCCCGCCGGGACCGCGGGCCCCCTTCCTACCTATGCCGGGCGCCACATAGACGAAGTAGAGCAGCGAGGACGAGAGCGAGAAGAAGAAGAGCGCGGCGAGCAGCGAGCGGCGCGGCAGCCGCAGCAGCCCCCGGCGGACGCGCATGCTGCAGCCGGGCGGCCGCGGGAGAGCCGGGCCGGGCCTGCTCCCGCCGCTCCCCGTCCGCCGCCTCCTGGGCCGCCGCCGCCGCCGCCTGGGCCTCGGCCACCACCACCTCCCGGGCCTCGCGGGCCGCCGCTCCCAGCCGCCGCCTCGCCGCTCCCAGCCGCCGGCCGCCGCGGGCCGGGCCACATGAAGCGGGCGGGGGCCGGAGCGGCCCGGAGCTAGAGCCGCGGCAGAGCCTGGGCGGGGCGGGCGGCGCGGGGGGCGGGGCGGGGGCGGGGCCAGCGCAGCCGGGCACCGTCGCAAAAGAACGGCGCGCGCGCTCGCCGCCGGACCCCCCGGTCCGGCTCCCGCGGCGGAGCGGCGGCCCGCAGGGAACGTCGCTAACTGGCGACAGCCCCTCTTCTGGCGCAGCCGCCGCCCAGGCTCTCGGGGAGCGTCGCTCAAGTGCCGGTCGGATCCGCGCAAGGGCGCCCCCAGCCCGCGAGCCAAGGGGCCGTCTGCAATGTCTGACGCGGTTGGGCGCCCACTGCGACAGTGGAGACTGTAGGCATGGGGGCTCGGCGTACACCTTCACTCCTTCCTTCATTCGTTCGTTCGTTAATTCATTCATTCAATTCGCCATTTATTAAAGACCAGACAGAGACCAGACACTGGGTTTTGGTGCCGGGGATGCTACAGAGGACAAAACAGACAAAATGAAAAACGGTCTCCATGAACGTACACTCAAACAGAAGGAGAAAAGGAGACAAATCACTTTATGGTACCGGGTACTGATGAAGGATGTGAACACGAAAACAGGAGAATGTACCGGAGGCAGGCCGGTGTGGTGAAGGAAGGCCTCTGAGCAGGTGACGTGAGATGAGACATAAAAGGGTAAACAGCAGGCACAAAGGCCCTGAGGTTTAAAAGCCTCCTCTGTGCCCAGGTCATCCAAGACCAGCACGGATAGAGTCTAGTGAGGCAAGGAGAACAGCAGGAATGAGGTTAGATCTCTAGGCAGGGTCCACATCCCACAGAACCATAAGGAGTGTAGTGATAACGGTTATCAATGGGAAGACGTGCACTGAAAGATGCGGGTCTTTACTTATCTCAATAAACTTCCCCAGCAGCCCTGAGATGTGTGCTCTTATTATTCCTGTCGTACAAATGAGGAAACTGAGGCTCCTCGATGGAGAAGCAGTTTGCCCAAGACTTACGGTAAAAGCTCTGGTCAAAAATGACCTGTCTCCCAAGGCAGATCTGTGACCACTGGGTGGTAACTTATCTCAGCATTCCCTCCCTCTCCTAATTCTCTTCCTGTAGGCAAATTGGTATCCTACTTCATAGGATACTGTGCGACCACCACCAAAACCATACTCTAAGATCAGCCCAAGGCCAGAAGACCTCCAGAGTCCCTGTAGACTCACGGTGAGGGCCAGAAGAACCAGCCCCAGCTTCAAGAAGTTACCAGCTGAATTGGGGAGGAAAATGTTCCCTGTGTGGACACATCTCAACCTGGAGAGGCTGTCTTGGAATACCAGAAGCAGTCAGGAAGAGAGAGGGCTTTGCAGGGATTCTTTGAGAACCAACAATAATCCTTCCTAAAGTCATTCCTACTCTAGTACAGTGTAGAACCTTCAAGTGACAGTCATAGAGCCAGACTGTCTATGTTCCCTGACTCCTATCTCTTCCTGTTCTTAGCTAAGTGACTTTAGGCAAGTTACTTAACGTCTCTATGCCTCTCAGTAAAATGGGGATATTATTAGTAACAACTGCATGGGTTGTTGTAAGGATTTGAGTAATATATGCAAAGCCAGGCACATGGTAAATGCATGTTAGCTCTCACCTGACCAATCCCCTTGGAAATGGTATGGGGCAGAAAAAGCGTAAACAACTAAAAAGAAAAGCAGACAATTTTTACTCAGATTGGGTTCAAATCTTTTCTTAGTGTCAGCTGGCTGTGTGATGTTAGGCAAGTCACTTACCCTCAGATTCTATTCACTGTCTGTTAAATGGACCCAGTGATGCCCACCTCCACAGGGATATGATTCGGAGTTAATGAGACAGCTGAGCTAAGGCCCTGACCAGAAATCTCAAACTAGGAATAATAGTTGGAATAATCTGACCCGCAACTACTTTTTGTTTGGCCCACACCACGGTACCTCCCCCACCATGTCCCTAATAAACATTTCAAACATACAGAAAAGTTGAAAGAATAATAGAAGGGACACCTGTACACTCTCCACCTGGATTCAACTATTGTTATCATTTTTCCAGATTTATCTTTCTATATTCCTAAGTCCACTTTCCTACCTCTTGCTCCGAATTATTTAAAAGTAAGTTGTTGCTTCACTGGTGGTACTTCATGCAGAAATCCTTTGACAAACATCCTAAGAAAAATTACATTCTCCTATATAACCACAATAATAATAGCACACCTAAGAAAATGAACAATCATACTATAAAATGTTATAATAGGTAGGCATTCCCAAATCTCCTCAATTACTTAAAGGATATCTTTTATAGCCATTTTCTCAACAGTATTAAATCAAGGCTTATACGTTGCATTTAGAATTATTTCCATAGTATTTATTTACCTACAACAGTAGCTGTACCTTCTTTTCATCCTTTTTTTCAACATGTTATTTAAAACATTTTTAATAAAAAAAAAAAACCTGTACGCCACCATACAATGTTTTGTTTAACTGAACTAGTGCTGGATCAATTGGAGTTCTACGTGGGGAAAGAAAAAAGACTCTTCACTCCTATCTCACACTATCCACAAAATCAATTCAAGATGGATTGTAAATCTAAATGTAAACGATCACATAAAAGCTTTTAGATGAAAACTAAAAGGAGTATCTTCATGTTGGGGTGGGCAGAGATTTGTCAGGACACAAACACCAAGCAGAGAGGAAATTTTAATAAAACGGGCTGCATTAAAATAAGGATGTCTGGGGTCCCTGGGTGGCTCAGTCAGTTAAGTGTCTACCTTCCACTCAGGTCAGGATCCTGGAGTCTTTGGATTGAGCCTCCTGTCGTGGGGTTCCCTGCTCAGCGGGGAGCCTGCTTCTTCTTCTCCTTCTGCCGCTCCCTCTGCTTGTGCTCTCTTGCTCTCTGTCAAATAAATGAATAAAATCTTTAAAAAAAAATAAGAATTTGCCTTCATCAAAACGAATAAGGAAAATCACAGGCAGCACAGTAAAAGAAGAAATAGAAATACATAGCTTATAAAGAACTCATATAGAATTTTTTTAAAAACCCACGGACTTACAAAGATTAACAATCAAATAAGGGAAAAAAACAGACTTGAACAAGCATTGCATAAAATAAAGTACCTAAATCACCCATAAGCATTACATCTTCTGAAAAATGCAAAGGAAAACCACACCTCTATACCATCTGTGGGCTGTTGGTTCCAAGGAAGAGAGGGAGAGCTTCCAGCCAAGGCTTGAGGAAGTCAAACTTTGAATGGCAGAGTAATATGAAAGTATGACTCTGGGCCAAGCAGACAGAGAGGCAGGAGGCAAAGCCAGGAGTGAGCGCTCTAGAAGGCAAGGGAAGAAGTGCCTCTGTCCTTGTGAGTAGGCCGACCTGGTTTTGAATGCCTCTTTTGGAATCCCCACTCCACCATTTTCCATCTGTAAAATGGCACTCCTAGGAGACGACTATCTCAGCGTGTTGGGGGCAAGGGTGTGTGGAAATACCTCAGGGACTTGTGCTCTTCTGAACATGCTGGGGCAAAGAAAAAGAGGGTCTAGCCCCTCTGGAGGACAGAAAATGGGCTCCAATGAGGAAGGCGGTGGTGGCCATCTCACCAACTCAAAACAAATGTCCTTGACGATTGTATTCCCTCACCATCCACCTCCACCCTAGCCTACGTGGGCAAGGAATTCTGCTGTTCCCTTGTGAAAAGAGAAAGAGAAGCCTTCCCACATCTGGACTAGGTACTGATGACCAATCTCTACTTCTGTCCCATCTGAAATAACAATGTATTGAAAGAAATTGGGATTTTTTTTAACCTTTTCAGCTCATGTTAGGTTTCCAGCTCACTCAAACATGCACCCATTCATTCATCCTTCATTTACTATTAGCCCCTCAGTCAAACAAGGTCACTGCACTCTGATCTCTACTGAAAGGTAACCTCCTCTGAAAGAAATTTCCTTTAAAATTCTCCCCACCGAAATGAACTAGGGGTGGAGGAAGGGGAGGTGGGCAGGGGGTGGGGGTGACTAGGTGACGGGCACTGAAGGGGGCACTTGAAGGGATGAGCACTGGGTGTTATTCTATATGTTGGCAAATTGAACACCAATAAAAAATAAATTTATAAAAAAAGTAACTAGAATTTAAGTATTATTTATGCATTCTTCTGAGTAAAGGTAATTTGATGTTGAAAAATAAAATAAAATAAAAATAAAATTCTCCCCACCCCAGAATTCTTTCTTCCCTTACCTGGCTCTTCTTATCTTCATTGTACTTTTCATCCCCAACATTATATTATAGATGTATGTGTTTATTTGTTCATTTTCCATCTCCCATACCAGAACATATGCTCTATGATGTCAGGGATTTTGTTTTCTTTTCTGCTGCATCCTTGCCTCTAGCACAGTGCCCAGGACCCGACAGGTGCTCAATAATTGTTGGAGGGATGCTGAAGAAATAGCAGGTCCACAGCGAGCGTGCTGGGCATGGCAGATACACAGGTGCTTAAGATGAGGTTCTTGGAATGCAGCAGCAGCACTGACAGGAGAGTGGGTAACTGTGGTACAAGGTAATAACAACTGGACTCCCGTGTCAGCAGTCGGGGTGGGGGGTGGCGGGGGGGGGAGGTCCTATGAGATGGTCTTTGAAAGGGAGCTGAGATAGACTTGCTCAAGCGCAGGGAGAGGAGGCCTGCTTGGCTGGAGCAGCCGGTCAGTCCAAGGACAAGGAAAAGACAGAGGGCAAGGCTAGAGGTGGCTTGACCCTGTGGCTCAGCAGGGGCCCCTCCCTGAGTCAAAAAGATATGGAGACCAGCCAGCCAGTCCTGCCTCTTCCTTGTTCTTACCCTGTGATCTGAGCAAGGGATTTCACCTCTGTGAGCTTCCATTTCCACATCTGGTTCCTTCTTCCAGGGGTTTCTATGAAGACTTGAGATAGTATGGATAGAGTATCTGGCACACAGCAGGTATTCAATCACTGTTGCTGTTCTCACACTTTTTCCGCAGGCCATAGGGAACCATTGAAGGTTTTAGAGGATG